CTTCCTCATCAACTCCGGCGCCGACATCGACGCCGTCGAACCGTCCCTTGGACTGCGCCCGCTCCACGTCGCCGTCTCGCCCTCCAACATCCTCGCAACCATGGCACTGCTCGCCGCGGGTGCCGATGTGTGGGCTCTCGGGACCAACGGCGAGACGGCCATGTCAATTGCCTCGGCTGTGCTCAACAAGTCCGACAGCGCCAATAATCTGGCTACAAAGGAAGTCTACAACCTCATCGTTGGTACAAGCTCTATCCCGGAGCGTGTTGCTGACCACGTCCGTGAGGCCATCGCTGCCGGTGGCGACAATAGCAGCGGTGCAGGCGCCTCTGCTGGGACCTCCACTCGCGTGGACAAACTCGAGGCCGAGCTCGCCGACACCAAGGCCGAGCTCGCCGACACCAAGGTCGAGCTCGCCGACGTCAGGGATCACGTCACCATCGCCACGGGCAACATCGCCGCCTTCCAGGCCGACCGCGCCAACATCCTCCAGCACGTCGACAAGGCCATCGCTATCTTCCAAGCACGCCGCTAGTCCTACGGCTCAAAACTCTCCTCGTGGTGTGCCGCAGCGCCCACACCGCCGCCGGGACATCGTCTGCGGGCGACGCAATGCCGCAGTAAAACACGCCCAGCAGCGTGGAGGCTTTGTGATGCGCCGCAGCGTAGCCGACCGTGTAGGGAAACTGCGGGTGCCGACGGCAACGCACCCGAGACAATGATCCGGATCTCGCGAATAAGCCGATGCGCCGACGATTCGGCAAGCACATCTGGCTGCCTCTGGTAGTCGTTGAGCGGGCGGGTGGTCCACCATAACGAGATTGCCTGCACGCGCGCCTGCGCTCCGTGCGGAGCGCTGTGGATGCGGTCTGGGGCAATCGACGCGTACGGCATGACGCCGATGCCTGACGCGATGAAAGTCCCGTGCAAGATGGTGACCACGTTGCGCGCGTTTGCATACATCGGCCACCGCCTCCATCACCACCGCCCGCAGCGTCTGTTTCGCCGTCGCGCGCCTTTGGTCTTCTTCCTCCTCTGGTATATCAGCACGAGGACCAAGGCCGATCGCTGCGCCCGCGGGCGCCGCAGTGACCACACCCTATCAACGTGGCAGAACACTATCTCTCGGCTCTGGCTGCGGTGCCGCTTGTATTGGCCAGAAACACGCAAGGGAACGGTGGGGGCTCAACGACGATCGAAGGCAGGATGAGCAGGACGTCGCCGTCGGCAAGATCGGCGGCGGCCAGGAAGAGCGCGAGGGCAAACTCGCTGGCAAAGCCGCAGCTTGGCGCGATTGTCGTCACCACCGGCGCGCTCCACCGCGCGAAAAGGTCGGAGATCCTGCGGTGGACGGCGCGGCCTGAGACGGGTGGGACGTCGCCTCTGTCCAAGCCTAAAGTAGCGATGTGGCTACCGGTGCGCGCATCGTGGACGTCGTCACCCTCGACATTGCTCTCATCGCCGCCGCTGTGGTCGACGAGGAGGGCCGAGGCGGCGATGGGGTGCTTGACCCAGAGGCCAACGCCCTCGATGATCGAAGCGACGGCGTAAAAGACGGCGAGGACGTACCACGAGTGCGGCGGGACGTGCCGGTGGACGATCTGCATGCGGACGGGCGAGGGCCATGGCGGCCGTGGCCGGAAGCCCGATGACCACCACCATGCTGACGATGTGCGCCACCGGAAGGTACAACCACTACTCGGGCGTGCAGCAGAGTGCGCCCGAGTGGTCGAGGACCGACCGATCGCGCGAGCCGGGTACGGCTGTGAAGCAGATGATGAATTGGATGAGACAGGAAGCGAGATCCGGAGAAGATTGATCGGCTCGATGATGGAGGCATGGGCCAGAGCCCGGCCAAAAACGGTCGATGCGAGCCAGATGGAATGGATGCCGGTGAAGCGGGCGCCAGCGAGTAGGGATGGTGAGGATGGCGGGCGGGCTGGGCCCACCAAGGCCAACGTTGGCCGCGCATGGTCAAGGTCAACGAGCGGACGAAATCCAAGACCAGTGACCGCAGCGCAGACAGCAACAAGAACGTCAAGAACTCCGGCGCCGATCCGATCCCCACCACCATCCTCATCTCCATCAGCATGGCCTCACGAAACGACCGCTCCGACGTTGTCGCCCTCCTGCACACGCCAGCCTGTTCCTTCCCATAGTCCTCCCGAGCATGCCGCGGGACTAGCCCATCCTCGCGCCCGCTCATCTCCCCGTCCATCACCATGCAAACTCGGCCATGCCGCAGATGGGCGCCATTTGCCGCGCCCGGCGTCACGGGCACGCCGCCCTCCCGCCTCACGCTGCAGCCATGCGACGCCGATCGCCGACCCGGCGCATCCTCCTGCCCGCGGACTACACCGACAACAACACCTCTTACAGCATCCATACTCATCCTCTGCTCACAACACCGAGTCCAGCGAGACTATCTCCATCTCCATCTCTAAGAGGCCCGTCGTTGCCCCCACAGCCAGCCAATGGCCCACAGCCGGCCCATGGCCACCCACCGCTGCGGCGTGACAGACATGTGCCGAAAAAAAGGGTCGAAAACTCTCCGCACGTGTGCGGAGGGGAGGTGGCAACGGCGACACCACAACCACACACAACCACACACAATCACACACTACCGCACACAATCACACACAACCACACACAACCACACACAACCACACACTACCGCACACAACCACACACTACCGCACACTACCGCACCTCTGTCCGTGACACGTGCAGCATTAGTCGGTGTGTGCGCCCCAAACTCCGTGCAACGACTTCACTGGTACGCGGTGGACGAGTGAGGCGAGACCGACACGGCACAGGCACAGGCACAGGCACAGGCACAGCCACAGGCACAGGCACAGCCACAGCCACAGGCACAGCCACAGCCACAGGCACAGGCACAGCCACAGCCACAGCCACAGGCACAGGCATCAGCATAGGCATCAGCATAGGCACGAGGCACCGCTTTCGCCGCTTGCAATGCCCACAACTCTCTGGCCTGTGTCGCCTGCACTCACTCGATCCCTCACCCACTCACTCACCCCTATCTGCTGCCGTTGCCCGCGCTGTCGCCGTTGCCATTGCTCGCACTGTCACTGCTGCCTCTTGCTCGCTACGGACTCGGGTGTGAAGATCTGACTGACTGTCTTGTCGACGATGCG